CACTTGAGCAAGACTCCCCCCGCCCAGCCAATGTTTCTGTCCCTGAAGGAGCAGAGAAATACGTTGAGGAAATCCCCAAGAAGCGTCAGATAAGATCCTCAGCCGCTTACAAGATCGCTGCTTCTGCTGCCTCGTACATCCATCGTGCACAGATATATATATATATATATATATATACTTGTATAGTATATTAAACGGGTATATATACGCATACACCTATTCTGGATATATGTGTATTTAGTAAATATATACAACTGTCCGAGTCCAACACATTTTTCAAGTACATATAAAAAAAAACAAAATGTTTGGAGAACAACATTCGGATCTGCAAATAAAGTTGCCAACTTTTTGGTCAACAATTCTCTACAGCAGAACAGAACCACCGAAATAGTTAGGTACATGGAAAATTCCTAGTAAATACAGCAGCTGCAGCACCATACTCGCATGGAGAAACTAGTCATGAACCTTTTCTCTAAACTAGCTACAAAGCTCCAGACTCTACAATGGCAAACACAGGTATATATATTCCGAGGCAAAGGGAAAACAGAATAGGGTTTGATTAGTTTACCGGTCTGGATTCGTTTGTGCAGTGGTTTGAGGAGGAATCAAGAGCGGTCGATGAGTTCTGTCTTGTCCAGAGCAGCCATCCTCTCGCAGACATCGGTCAGAGATTTGAGGTTGCACCTTATGAGAGCCTCCACGAAGAAGCAGGTCTCTTCAACGGTGTTTCCCTCCGGCACGTCCACCACGAACGACTCGACAACCACTGTGCCTGGCCTCCCGTCTATAATCTCTGGATGAACCGTGACAATTGAGGAATAGTTCTGCAACAAGAGAACCAACCGGGATTAGATTCAGGTCTCGTTGGTTTGATCAACGGATTGCAGAGTTGGTAAAGGTGATTATACCTTAAGCCTGTGGTCACCGCCAACGATTCTGATGCGGAGGATATGCTGATTATCATCAAGGAGTTCCAATCTCTCGGTACTCGTGGTAGCAGGGAGGCCAGACTTGACGTCTACCTCTCTAACGCTGCCGATTCCGACATCACCCTTCATCACACACCTGCTGACGAACGGCTTGTACTTCTGCGGCTGATCGAATCTCCTCACCAGAGACCAAACCTGATGTTATCAATCACAACAGATTAATCGATACGTTTGCCTAAGGTTGATCAAACTTCAATTTGTATTCATTTGGATAATTAAAGAGATCTAAGTTTGCCGTTCGTCTACTAGCTTGAACGAAGACGTTTCGTGCATATCAAATTTTCATTCCCTTTCCAGGCAACCAAACACCAAATCGGCTGAGATCTAAGAAGCGAATTGTTTTCAGCACTGGAGATTGGAGAACGACTAAAAAAACCAAACAGATTACCGACCCTAAATCAAATAGACTGAAAGCCATCGAGATTCCACTAGCGAATCTCACACTCATATCTGCTAACACTACTGACAATCAGATAGTCATGAAAATCCTAGCACAGATAGAAAAAAGCACGACGAATCAAAAGACAAAACGGCCAAGACAAGAGAGAGAGGAAGAAGAAGACAGAGAAACCGATCAGGGAGCAGACGCAGATACATACAAGATGAACAGGAGCTTTGATGTGCTTGACAAGGGCGGAGGAGCACTGATGCTCTCTGGGTTGGTGCTTGTGGTACATCCGAGCGCAAAGCATCTGCATATCCGTCGCGCCGCCGTCCATCGCCAAAGAATCCAGCTCGGGATCAATGATTGATTTCCCCTCAGGGTTTTTTCTGAAAAACGAAAGGAGAATATAAAGAATCTCGATTTGAATCGAGAGGGTTTTGAGGGAGAAGATAAGGACGGGCTTCCAGCTTGCAGCGGATTTGGTGCAATGTACATGGAATTAGCGTGAGCTCCATATTCCTTCACTCCTCCTCTTTCATATTTCTTGTGGGCCCATCCTTCCTCTTCTTAAGTTCTTAAAGCATTTAAAAAAATTATAATTTATACTCTCTCTCGAAACACAAAACTTGATGTTTTAATTTTTTTTAGAAAATAAAAAAAATCACATATACACAAAACTTAATAAAAATTATCAAATTTCAATAAATTTAATTTATTGAAATTTGATAACTTTTATTAAGCATAAAATAGAAAATTATTTTAAAATTTTACTTAAAAAACTTAAAATGACAACCATTCATTTAGTAACACAAAAAATAATCTAAAACGTCAAGTTTTGTAAAACAGATATTATTTATTTAATTTGGCTCAATTTGAGCTAAGATTAGATTTATGAAATGGGTTAAATTAATTAGATAACCTGATCTAATAATAAATAACAATAATAAATAGTTTGGATTTAATGTTTGAGTTTTTCTCCTATAATGGATTAAATAGAGTTTACCCATTTATTATCTATTTTAAACCTAATTCATTCTTTAATTTCATTTTTACATTGTTTTTCACTCTCCAAACCTAAAAACCTAAAACATGTTTTACAAATCTCTCTCCTTGGTATTGGAAAATAAACTTGCTCCTGATATTTGGTGATATAAGAATGTGTATTCAAGATCACTAGAATGATATGTTCAAAACAATTATTATTTTAGACTAAATTTATTAGGAGTTGCTAGAAGATTCTTAAGACTAGTATATAGTTTTAGTTTTAGTTTGTAATTTGTAAATAACAACACAAATACAACAAATACAAATACAGGAAGTATTGAAAGAAATATTTTCTAAATGCTTACAAGTGGTATCAAAGAAAATAGATTATCAAGAGTTTTTGTAAATTTTGTATTACAGTGGATTGTAAACCTTTCTTTTTATCAAGGAATACAATCACGTTATACAAAAAAAAAAAAATCAAATCATTCACGGTACCAAAAACGCTCTATCCACTTCCAAGACTATTGGGCCAAGGCCACAATATATATTATATACATCGTCTAAGGAAAAGCCCATTAAACCCGTCAGAAGCCCACGTTACGATTCGAGCTTTCTAAAAAGACGACACGTGGCGGGAGGTGACAGACTCGCGAGACAAAAAAGTTGGCAGAGACGACGACTGCCATCTCCATGGGGGCACGAGATGTGGAGACTAATGCCATCTCCTCCTCCATGCAACCCAACATTTGGCCTCCGTATCCGTTTCTGAATTTACCGGCATGCCCTCCACCGTTGAGAAATATCCCAAGCACGAAATGACGAATTCACCCTCCCTGACCACACCCCATTTATGCTCGCAAGCAATTCCTTCTGGTGAGATGATTTTGCCATAACTTGTGGAGAACGCGGATTATGGATTTTCTTAACGACGTTTACCAATATTTTTCTCGCTAATTAAGCCAAATAACATCTAACCAACCCTTCAACCACCCGTAATTAGCTCACCACGTCAAGGGCATTTCCGTCTCACTACAACACTTTCCTCCCTCTCTTCCTCAGTCCGCGTGACTGCCCCCCCCCCCCC